TCTGGGCTCAATATGTGTCTTGGCCGTTTTCGTTGTGATCGCTAAATTCACCTTGTTTATAATAATCACCGTTTCAGCAGGATACTGTAGTGATTCAAAGTGTGATTTTAGAAAACGAGTGCTTTTGTTTTGAAATCACTTCCGTGAGTTTGATGAGAGTAACAAATGCGTCACTTCCGGGCAAAAATAACGGCTCCGCCCACTTTTGGGGGAAAACAANGGTGGCTACCATTAGCAGCTAACTTTTACTCTCCGATTTTTACATAAAAATTGAATTATGGATTATAAATATTTTTTTTCAAAACAACAGACACATTATCAACCTATGGATTAACCGATTTAGCCGCGTTTTTCTCGTTTTAATAGAGTAACAAATGCGTCACTTCCGGGCAAAAATAACGGCTCCGCCCACTTTTGGGTGAAAACAACGCTGTCAGTTGAATACAAATTCTGAAGTTTTTGCCAATCCGATCAGAAATTTAAGAAAACCGGAGATTTTTGGATCTTCAAAGAGCCCGATTCCAATGGCCAGACAGGCAAACAATTGCATTAAGCCATTAGAAATCGACGATCGGGCTCGATATATGGTTAAATATAGCAGTAGGCTATCGATTTTCATAGATGAGAGTAACATCTACGTGACTTTACGGCCCACCCAATTTTGGGGGAAACAACGCTGTCATTTGAATGCCGATCGAGCCTGAAGCCACAGAGCTCTTCTTTTACTGTCCTTTCTTCTTAGAGGAAGTACAGAAACACTGAACTCTTGATTATTTTTAATGTTTGAGGTGCAATAAACGACACAGCAGCTTTTTTGGCATGATACAAATATTATGTTCCACCTCGCTCATGAGAGTAACAGCTGGAGAAATTACAGCCTCACCTACTGATTTTAATTTAACCATATATCAAGACCGATTGTCGATTTCCAATGATCAAATGTAATTGTTTGCCTGACAGGCCATCGTAATCGAGCTCTTTGAAGATCCAAAAATCCACGGTTTTCCAAAAAATTGGATCGGATTGGCAAAAACTTCAGAATTTGTATTGACAGCCTTTCAAATGACAGCGTTGTTTTCCCCCAAAAGTGGGCGAGGCCGTAATTTTTGCCCGGAAGTGACGTAGATGTTACTCTCATCTGCCATTGAACACGTTTTTTGATCAGATTGACAGCTACGGTGAGACGATCTCCCGTAAAAGCTCCGTAAAGGTACGTGTTGTGATGTCTGAGTTTACTTCCCCTGTCGCGAGTTTGGATCGCTCAGTGATGATACTATATATATATAATCTGTGGAACCTCAGCTTTAATCGGATATCTTGTATGTGCAGCTACGATAAGTAATAAGGGTATCTTTCATCTTGAGTTCTGTGCCAAAGTGCGTTAGCATTTTTCGCTCAGGGGTCATTTAGATGCTTCTTATGAGACTTGTGTTTTGTTTTGGTAAAAATGGTCCAGTCTCTGATTGTGTTACGTTATTATGAGAGTGCNAAGGGTATCTTCATCTTGAGTTCTGTGCCAAAGTGCGTTAGCATTTTTTGCTCAGGGGTCATTTAGATGCTTCTTATGAGACTTGTGTTTGGTTTTGGTAAAAATTGTTTGTATCGTCAGTTAGCTGAGATGCTTCCCGTTAATCTGGTATAACACATGAATAGGTTCTTAAATATTAAGATTCACGACACAGTGTCGGTAAAAAAAAAAAAAAAAGACCCGCCGAGTGGGTCTTTGGGGCTTAACAGGTTAAATGAATCATTAGGTCTTACACAAACTCTGTTGACCTTGGGCATTCAACTGCATCGGTGCTGTTTACACAGGAACGAAACAGGTTGTATCCGCTACTTTTCTCTTTCGTATAGCCCGTTCGGCCACACGAGGCCGTAACGGAACCGCGGAAACGAACCCCTAAAACGATAACGGGTCCCAAGGTGGATAGATCTGCGGACTGAACGCTCTGGGGGGCCAAACGACTCTGTGTGTACGTCCTATACGATCATTTTCCTGATAACGATGAAGCCATAGCCCCGCTTCTCCCCACCTCTGCTGCTCACTGCTGTAGCATGGTGGTCAGTAGCTACTGACCATGCTACAGATGTTAGTGCACAATCTACAGCTGCTCTACCACAACCATCAATAACAAGTGGACATGGAGAACTACATGTTGCTAAATCCACCGCGGAGAATAAACAGAAGGGCAACCAGGCAACCATGGCAACCATGCATGGGGGTCTTCTTCGCTGCTTTTGGTGTATTTTGTGGCGGAAGTACAGCGCCATTTACAGGCCCATGTACTACAGCGTCTCCAGCTGGTCGAGCGGTCTCGTGTGAAGGGACACGTTTATTGAGCTGTATCGGTGTGAACCTTTATATATAGTCTATGGTGTGAACGGAAGACTTTTTTTATATCGAATTCGGTTTGTTTGCGTTTCGTTTGCGTTCCCGTGTAAATGGGGTCTTTAACAGCATGTAACCGGATTCTTGAACTTTTAAACAAACACTGAAAATGTCCTGTGCAACTGGTTTTGGGGAGGAGGGAAGGGGGGGCTGTACATTCTAGGCGTGTATGTACAGTATGGGCTATGAGTCACCAAACCTACAACTGAAACCTTTACCTTATTTAGCCCAGAGAACATGTAACACATACCTTCACAACCACCCAGCTGTCCCCTCTCACACTTTTTTTTGAGGGACTTTTAATTTGTTGCTACTTTGTACTTCAACCCTACTACAATTAAAAGATAAATCGTGTACTTTTACTCCACTACATTTATATTCTATAAATTACTTTTTGTTTAATGATGTGAAGTATAACACTTATGTAAGACATTCTACCCTGTATACAAAGTAATTCAAATTAGCTGCACCTGATAATACTAATCACAATAGAAATATATCATTTATATTATTCTCAAATTGGCCAATCTGCATATTGAGTAGTTTTAATTTTGATACCTTAAGTTATTCTGATGGTAATACTTTGTGACACAACAAAAGTACTTTTACTTTCACTTAAGCACGAGATAAGTTGCAACTTTTTTTTGGTATTGTTTATTTTTGCATCACCAGACACCAAAGCAAATTCATTATATGTGTAAACGTACCTGGCAATACACTTGATTCTGATTCTGATCTGAGTAATTCTTCCACCTCTGTACATGTGTAATCATTTTCATTGTGAGGACTTGAAATAGCAAACACACCGCTTATATTGAGGCTATATTTAACCAACTACGCCTTTCCCCCGGGATTGACCCATATTTTGTTTAATTTTCCAAAAGAGGAACAGTTAAAACTGACTGGTTTTAGGCTACCTCTAAATCACTTCCCTTAAGCGAATCAAATCTTGACACACATTAGTGATTTCATAATGTTGACTCATGTTGTGTGTGTGTGGAAGATAATAAGATAGAGAGCGAGTGAGCAACAGAGAGAAGAAAGGATACTAACAATACAACATTTTTATAAACTTTAAAGAGTGATGGATTTGAAACAAATATAGCTTTTAAAACAAAACCTTTTAGTTTGGGGGAAATGTTACTCTCAAGAAGAAATAGACTGATTCTAAACCAAACTTTGAACATGTTTACAAAAATGTACAACAATTTGGCACAAACAGAGACAGGCTGTACCAGACACTTTTATTCTACCAGACACTTTTTACGCTGCTATGGACAGTTTTGCACTACTGTATATATTTTGTTGATGAAATAATTGATCATCTCTTTCAATTAATCCGTTTAGCAGTCTGGCCACTAGACTAGACTCAAACCCATACTTTATTATAATTTTGAATAAATATGTATATATTTATTTTTGGATATATTTACTCTCTGTGGTGAGATAATTATGATGAATTTCTGTCACACAAAAATAGAAGTTGACAATAAAGTTGACTGTATCCCTGATTTCAATGTTTTGTCTATGTAATTTTTGATTGTATATGACATTTATACATTTTGTTTAATAAGAGGGGGGGAACTGAGAAAGATGGGGGGCGGGGCTTAGTAAGCTGACACCCTGGCCCTGCTCTGCCTTAGCCTCGCGACATCCTCCCGGTGAACTAATTCTCCACAGGCTCTGAAGGACTTTTCTCTCCGTTTCTCACCAGGGCGGAAGGAGCGGACCGTTTCCTGACTGCTCCACGTTGTCGCCGGGGGGGGGGACACGGTAACCGAGGCGCCTCCGCTACACATACCTGGCATGTGACAGTTAGCGAGCATCTCTTTTTTTTTTTAACGCCGAGGAAAAAGGAAAGTTGGTCGGCGAGAAAGGGCTCGACCGGTAGAGGGTGAGCTCCGCTTTGGTCTCCCGCCGAGACAGTCACAGAGATGGAGCGGCTGTGCGGACCAGAGCTCCCTTTCTGGGTGAGTACGTCTCCGTCACTCGCTGCCGGCCGGTGTACGGTTTGTCACGACCGCCGTGTATGTCACAAGATACCCTAACTCCATTGGTGTGTACTTCACGTACTACCTGACAAGGTTATGCAATGTTATGTCATTCTATTGTTTTCTTTTCGGGCAGAAAAAGCCACTAATGGTCATAGATTACTCGAAATAACCCACTTGATAGCATTCACTGTGTTAACAAGCTCCCAGTTCATGTCATGCTGTATTCAGTGCTCTCGTTTGCTGTATAAAGAAGGTCGGAAACTGCAGTTGTTTTCTATGGGGTAATAAACTGTCTAATAAACGTCCGCTAGCTTAATGTTGATATTATTATAGTATTTATGATACACCTCAGCAGGGCCGGCCCTAGACTTTTGGGGGCCCTAAGCGAGCTTTGGCTTGGGGGCCCCCCTCACTCTAGCGCGTTCTCACTACACACAACACGGAACCAACTTTTGTCTTATGATGTTAGCATAAGCACACATATTGTATAAATAAGCATGTAAACACCATGGACCTAACGCTGGGGGGTCCTCACTTCCTCTAGGGGGTCCGGGGGCATGCTCCCCGGGAAAGATTTTTTTTTTTAAATATTGAAGTTAAAAGCATCAATCTTGGTGCTCTTTGAGAGCAAAATTAAGAGATCTATGGATAACATCTCTCAACACCATAATGAAACAGAACTGTAAAACAGATTTTTCTGCTATGGATATATTACAAATCAGTTAAATGTATCTTTGTTTGTATATAAGTATTTCATAACTGTTTTTCATTTGTCTCGTCTGACTGTCCTCTCAATTAATGTTCAGCATAGAACTAGCTGGTCAGCAGGGAAATCCTTCAGAAGAATGATAATTCTTGCAAAAATCTGTCCAAAAGAGAGTATCACATATAATTCAGGTGTTGTTATCGGCAACGTCAGTCCGCCAAAAGCCACATTTACTGCTGCAAAAATAACGGTTAAACTGCGATGTTGACACGTAAAGCAGTGGCAACTATGCCACCATGTTCCAGCTTTTTCTCAGAAATTACTGTCACATAAAATCCCATATATTTTAGTGCTAGATTGTGCTTAGCTAAAGCTAACTATGAAACACTTTAAACTGACAGGACTCCGGATCAACTGTGGAATGGTAAGGTAGCTTCTAGCTTCATGTCGAAAATAAGATCAAATTTCCCAGAGAGCTTTCTTTGAAATTCACCAGGTAACGATAAAAAACATTACATTTAGATTGAGTATGACAAAGTGTGTTATTTAATATATCTGGCTAGCTATAGCTACGTTGCTAACGGTTTACTTACCGCGATTCAAACAGTAACGTCAACGTGCTGTATTATGCCTTGGCTTACATGTTCGCATAACCTTGAAGTTTACTGACCCATTTACATACCTTGTTTTACCATTGGCCTCGAAGTGGTGCTCCTGGCGGTTGTTGTGTGAGCCACCACTTGGAGGAATTGGCGTATTTTTTAAGAAAATGTTTTCCTATGTCATCTTTCAAAAACTCCGAGTCTGAACCTGACAGTTTTATTTTAACATTGTCACAGCTCAACAGGATAGGTACCTGTCAGTCAATAAGAACTGATGTTTATCTCCATTCAACTCTCCTGTTCTGGTCCTGGTGGGTCTTGGCCTCTCGTTTGCATTCACATGAACACCGGGAATTACAATCCTGTCCGTCCTATCTTGGTCGGTCATGAATGAGGATCAGTTTAAAGCCGGGTTTAATGTATTATTTATTGACTCAATAAATATCTGTTTAAATGGTCCCGCTTAATGGGTCGGGCCGGCTCTGCACCTCAGACACGATAATAATCCGTAAACATCTCCAGTGTTAGTAACACAGGGTAGCCTCATCAATCAATATGAAAGTGACCAGCATAGCAAGAGATAACCAACAATCATAAAGGGAGGAAGTATCTACAGATAGCATACACTAATATAGCTCCACCTGGTGATTTCCTCTTGATGGGTGGATTAAACATGTGGCAGGTACCAAAGTCCCTTAATACTCATATTAATGGTCAATATTATAATAACATTGTGCCGTTAATATATCTATGTCACCAAAGACCAACTGTGGACAAGTACAAAAAATGTAATATGAATATTGTAGGAAGATGAAAAAATTCCCAAAAGCTATACAGGTGTCCGCGGGGTCTATAAAAAGTATTTAAAAGTTGTAAATCAATTTAGCGAAAATTTAAGGCCTATTAAAAGTATTAAATGATTTTCCAAGGTATAAGAATCCCACAACAACCGACAAACATGAAACCACCACTTTAATTACTGAAACGACATGTCGGGAACCCCTCAAAGGCGGCTCCATGCATAGCGTCGGCCGTAAAATGCTGCCTTCTTACTTTTATTTTTAAGTTTCCGTTGCCCTTGTCGCTCTGTGGGGGGGGGGGGGGGGTCCCAAGGTTGGGTAGACCGGGCAATACGCAAACGCTTCTTGGCGGGGTCCACGGTCCCGTGTGGTAGCCCTAATGATCATTTTTCTGATAACGTGAAATAGCCCGCCTCCTCTCCACGTCGTCCCTGCTGCTGCTGGGCTGTCAGAAGAGGGGGAAGAAGGAGGCAGCACCGTTAATTAATATTTCATTATACAGAGAACAGAGTCTATTATCAATTTGTTTAAAGCTCAATAAATAACAAAAGGAAGACCTCTGGATCTCGCCACTTTTCTAATTTTGTACGGAAGATTAAACTTTAACAGACATGTTGGCCGGGAAATTTTTTTAAACGGAAACCTCCTGCCGCACGTTCCCTCGCGTCCTTTGGGAAGCCCGAGAGGTGGGTGTTTGTCATCTGCCTGGGTGGGACTCCTGAGGAGATATACAGCCAGGAGAACCGCCGTCACCGCTGGAGAATAACAGAAGGGCAACCATGGCAAACGCATGCTCGGGGTCTTACTTCGCTAGGACTGTTGAAGTGGTATGTTTTGGGCGGCAGCAGCGCCACTCTACAGCCTGGCCAATATGTACT